AAAAAAAAAAAAAAAAAAAAAAAAAAAAAAGAATTGTATACTTTAAATGGGTGAATTACATGGTATGTGAGTTATATTTCAATAAATCTGTTAAAAAACAAAAAAAGGAAAAAAAATAAAAGGCAGATGTCCTGCCTGTAGTGTTTCTTGGGATGCAATTGCACCTGTAACCAAAAGAGGATCACATCCGTCCTTGTCCCTAATTTCTACTTCACTCAGAAATATCTGTCACGTAGATCTCTAAGTTACAAATTCAATTTGATAAACACATGTCGTATTCTAAGTTCACCCAGCATACCAATAGTTGCTGGGTACTTATGTATCAGGCTCTGGGCAGGGCACTAACCTCAGAGTGGGGGAGTCTGGTGAGACTGAGAAATGATTATAGTACAACAATGGGAGTGTCCTTATAAAGGGAAGCAGCATAGCGCAGAATGGGCCCACAGAGGAAGGGTCCTAGTTCTGCCAAAGAAGGCTTTGGTTTAAGACTTTGGAGAAAGTGGCCAGGTGCAGTGGCTCATACCTGTAAACCCAGCACTTTGGGAGGTCAGGAGTTTGAGACCAGCCTAGACAAAATGGTGAAATCCCATTTCTGCAAAAATACAAAAATTAGCAAGGCATGGTGGCACACGTCTTTAAATCCCAGCTACTCTGGAGGCTGAGGCACAAGAATTGCTTGAACTGGGGAGGTTGCAGTGAGCCAAGATCATGCCATTGTACTCCAGCCTCGGTGGCAGAGGGAGACTTTGTATGAAAAATAAGAAAATAAAACTTGGGGCTATGTGCAGTGGCTCAAGCCTGTAATCTCAGCACTTTGGGAGGCCGAGGCGGGCGGATCACCTGAGGTCAGTAGTTCGAGACCATCCTGGCCAACATGGTGAAACCCCATCTCTACTAAAAGTACAAAAATTAGCCAGGTGTGGGGGTGGGTACCCACAATCCCAGCTACTCAGGAGGCTGAGGCAGAATTGCTTGAACCCTGGAGGCGGAGGTTGCACTGAGCCGAAATTGTGCCACTGCACTCCAGCCTGGCTGACAAGAGCAAGACTCAGTCTCAAAATAAATAAATAAATTAATTAATTAATTTTTTTAAAAAAAGGCAGGACTCGGTGGCTCATGCCTGTAATCCCAGCACTTTGGGAAGCCGAGGTAGGCGGCTCGTGAGGTCAGGAGTTCAAGACCCACCTGACCAACATAGTGAAACTCCGTCTCTACTAAAAATATAAAAATTAGCTGAGTCCTGGTGGCTCGCGTCTATAATCCCAACTACTCAGGAGGCTGAGGCAGGAGAACTGCTTGAACCTGGGAGGAGGAGGTTGTAGTGAGCTGAGATTGCGCCACTGCACTCCAGCCTGGGCCACAGAGTGAGACTCTCTCAAATAAATAAATAAAAATAAAAAATAAAACTTGGGAGATATCCACTGTTGTTTTTAAACTCTTATGCATATACTTAATTTTCAAGATTATATGACCAAACTGGAAAATGATAAATACCAAAAAAAACCTCTATTTTTGCAAAGATTTTATTAATAAAATATAAATTAAAAAGATGGAAAGCCATATTCCATTTATTTTCACTGATGGAGATGATGCCAAGCACTTGAAACTTTTTACATGTCTTCAAAGAAAGCTTTTTGGAGATCTCATCCTTACCCCACAATCTTTTAAAATCCCTTCCCTAGCAACCCAACACCTAAGTTTCAGAACATGACTGAAAACACCAACATGATTCCACCGTTCATCTAATCCCACCTGAATTTTGTCTTAACTTAGGTTTAACCTTATTGGGGACTGAAATGATTTATTTGAGATAAACCGAAGCCAGTTTAAAAATTACTCAGATAATAGTAGTAACTAAGATGTGCATAGTTCCCTTTTCAGCAGAAGCCCTAGGGTACGACCAGCCGATAAGGCGAGTCAGTCTTTCAAGTGTTGACATCTTCATCTCCAGCCCGGCCCCTTATGAAGTGAGGGGAGTTTCCACTGAAGTCAGTCAGTAAGCTCCTTGAGCCAAGTATTCCCAAATGCTACTTACTGGAGGTATAAAAATGACAGTAACTTTTCTCAGGGCCATTTCACAATCTTACACCAGAAGCCATATGGTATAGTTTATGGAGTCTATCTTGTTTTAGAATGAATCTTGTGGGATTCATTCTACACAAATGATAATGCTCAAAAACCCAGAGGTAACGGTGCTCAATGAATTACTTTTTGCAATAACTAAAAACTGAAAACCACCTGTACGCTCAACATCAGAGAGAAACAACATTAAGTAAATCACAGTCCAGTCAAAGCCAATGCCAGAAGCCAGAGATGGATGCCGTAGTCAACCTGGCACACAGAAATGTGCAGTCTAGTGTGGCCAATAAAAAGGATGTAGAAAAACACTTAAAGCCACGGGTAATACATGTGATGTAATATTAAGAGAAAGAGCCCGAAGGTTGAGGCTGCAACAGTCAGCCAAGATCTTGCCACTGCCTTCCAGCCTGGGCGACAGAGCGAGACCCTGTCTCAAAGTAGAGAGAGTGAGAGAGCATGTTTCTGCACTTTACGACGCAGATTCTGCAAAAATAAGCCCTGATCATATTACAAGGAAAACCCATCTGGAAGAAAATACACCTTCATGTTAACCCGGCTTGTCTCTGGGGAGCAGGAGCATGGCTGCTTTGCTTGTTTCCTTGTTGCTTTCTGTTCCACGTTTTCGACAGCGACAAGTATTATGTCTAAAGTTAGCGACCAGGCTGTAGGCGGGTGCGGCGGGTCGCGGGGCCGGGCCTGGCCAAGCAGGGACGCTCCCGCACCGCCCTGGGCTGGCCCCGCGCCCTGCCGCACCCTCACCTCTGCCCGCGCTCAGCGGGAGCCGAGTGCCGTCCCGAGGCCTGGGATCACCGGCGGGCCGGCTGGAAGCGTCCGGAACTCACCCGCGCCTCACCCGCCTGGGTCTCACCGACCGCGAAGACACCGCCCGCCGCCGCCGCTCAGAGATGGCCGCCGCCGGCGCAGCAGGGCCGAGGGCGCGGGGACGCCGGGGTCTGCGCGCAGGGGCTTCCGGGGTGCGGAGCCGGCAGGCCCGGGGCGTCCAGGTGGGCGCAGGCGCGACCCCGACCCCACCCGGGCTGCTGCCTCACCTGTGCGCCGTGGGCTGCGGGAGGCTCTGGGGGCGGTCGCACCAAACAACCGGTTGGTTCCGACTCGGCTACGTAGGCCGCATGGCTTTGCTCCCCTCGCCGAGAAACCCGCGCAGCCGGCGCGGAGGCTGAAAGCTCTGCAGGCGCGACTACCAAACACGCCGACTGTTTGTCGCGCCTCTGGTCCCCTGGGGCGCCCAGCGCTGGAGGCCACCCTTCCCCCTCCACGGACGCAACCCCGGTCCGCAGCCTTAGCCCAAACCCTCCGCTCACAGGCCTTCCTCAGCCCCCATCCAGGACATCACCAAGTCCTGCACTGCGTCTAGTCTTCCCACCAGCAAGGAAAGATGGGTAGGAGCCAGCCGCAGGCCCCGCGCTGGGACAGACGCGGCGACAACCTGGCGGGCAAAAACAGCCCTGTGCCTGCTCTGCAGCTATGGGGAAGGGAAACCTGGTCATGGCAACTATGGCATTCGCTCCTTAAAACTTCTTTATGGAGTCTCATTCCTTCTTTAAAGACCCAAACTACTTAAGGTGGGCAGGAAGCCCCCATGTGTGATCTAGCCCCTGCCTGCTTGGCTTCATTTAGGTCGTTAAAGGATGCAAGTTTCTTCTCACCCAGGGCCTCGGCAAATGCTCTTCCCTCTGCTAGGACACTTCTCACCTCTCCCCTGTTGTGAGTGTTTGTATATCATTTCTTAGGTTACACTATCCTGGCCCACAAGACTTGCAGCATTGCTGGGTGTGGTGGGTCATGCCTATAATTACGGCATTTTGGGAGGCAGGTGGGAGGATCGCTTGAGCCCAGGAGTTCAAGACCAGCCTGGGCAACATGATAAGACCCCATCAAAAAAAAAAAAAAAAAAAAAAGAGAGAGAGAGAGAAAGAAGGAAAGAAAAAAAAAATTAGCCAGGCATGTTGGCTCAGGCCTGTGATCCCAGCTACTTGGGACGCTTAGGTAGGAGAGTCGCTTAGCCCAGGAAGGAACGTCGAGGCTGCAGTGAGCTGTGATTGCACCACTACACTCCAGCCTAGGCAAAGAGTGAGACCTGGTTTCATTTAAAACAGAACAAAACAAAACAAAACACAAGAAACAGCCGGGCTCAGTGGCTCACACCTGTAATCCCAGCACTTTGGGAGGCCAAGGCAGTCGCATCACCTGAGATCAGGAGTTTGAGACCAGCCTGGCCAACATGGTGAAACCCCGTCTCTACTAAAAATACAAAAATTAGCCAGGCGTGGTAGTGTGTCTGTAATTCCAGCTACTCAGGAGGCTGAGGCAGGAGAATCAGTTGACGTTGAGAGGCGGAGTGTGTGGTGGGCCGAGATTACCTCGCTGCACTCCAGGCTGGGCAACAGAGAGAGACTTCATCTCAAAAACAAAACCAAAAAACACACAGAGACTTGCAGCATCAGGGCTTCTTCCTAGCCTCTTTCAAGGTGTGCAATAACTTGTGTAATGTTTGCTTAATGTGTAACATAGCAGTAGACTGAAATCCATGAAGGCAGAGACCATGGCCGCTTGGCTCTCATTCTTGTATTTCTCACATCTGCACCGTGCAGGCCCATATTAACTTTGGTAAATATTTATTGAATGAATGAATAATGAAGAGCAGGCCTGGGTAGTGTCTTTGGTGGCCTTGATTTTCACTTTCAGAAGGAGACAGTGTTGCCTACAGAGAGCAAGCAAAGTTGTTGAGTGGTCCCTGTGAAGTGTAGGCCCAACCATAGAATAGAAACAAGTGAAGGGATTCTGGAAGGCTCTGAGAGTCCAGTATATTTAGGGGCTGCTATGGTTTGAATGCTGGTATCTCCCCAAAATTCATATGTTGAAACCTAACTCACAACACATTCATATTAAAAGAGTGGGTCCTTTGTGGGTGAAATTAGTGCCCTTGTGAAAGAGGCTTGAGGGAGCCTCTTTGACCTTTCTGCCATGTGAGGATGTACTGAGAAGACGCCATCTTTGAAGCACAGAACAAGCCCTCAGCAGACTATGACTCAGCTGGAGCCTTGATATTGGATGTCCCAGCCTCCAGAACTGTGAGCAATATATTTCTGCTGTTTATAAATTACCCAGTCTAAGTTCTTTTTTCTTTTTTTTTTTTTTTTTTGAGACAGGGTTTTACTTCAGGCTGGAGTGCAGTGGCATGATCACAGCTCACTACAGCCATGATATATGTCTTGGGCTCAAGTGATCCTCCTACCTTAGCCTCTCAAGGAGCTGGGACAATAGGTGCATACCACCACACCTAGCTAATATTTAAAATTTTTTTTTGTAGAGAGAGGATCTCACTAGGTTGCCCAGACTGGTCTCAAATTCCTGGGCTCAGTTCTCCCACCTTGGCCTCCCAAAGTGCTGGGATTATAGGCAAGAGTAACTGCACCCAGCCTTTCTTCTTCTTCTTCTTCTTCTCCTCCTCCTCCTCCTCCTCCTCCTCCTCCTTCTTCTTCTTCCTCTTCTTTTTCTTCTTCTCTCTTTCTTCTTTCTTCTTCTTCTTCTTCCTTCTTCTTCTTTCTTCTTTTTTTTTTTTGAGACAGAGTCCACCCAGGCTGGAGCCTTGGGTAGGCATTTTCCGGGGCTTCTGAAAAAGAGAATGCTTCCCCTTTTCCTTTGGATTCCCAATAGAGGAACATGAGCCCAGGGAGGGTTTTTGAGTTAAAGTCTCACTGCAACCACTGTTTCCCGGGTTCAAGCAATTCTCCTGCCTCAGCCTCCTGAGTAGCTGGGACTACAGGCACGTACAACCACGCCCAGCTAATTTTTGTATTTTTAGTACAGATGGGTTTTCTCCATGTTGTCTGGGCTGGTCTCAAACTCCCGACCTCAGGTGATCCACCCACCTTGGCCTCCCAAAGTGCTGGGATTATAGGTGTGAGCCACCGCACCCGGCCTTTTCAAGTATTTTGTTATAGCAGCCAAAATAGACTAAGATAGGGACATTCAGGCCATATAGTATAATTTCTTTCTGCATCTTTATGTTAATGTAAAGAAAGACTGCTTCACCTTTGGGGTTTGTAGGGTAGATGCAGTTTCTAGATCCTAAGCAAGTATGTGAGAGAAAGTAGTTAAGAGACAGCAGGGAATAACCTATTGATGGGGTTAACCAGTTTGCAAAGTGATAAAGACTGATTACTAAGCAAATTATGATACAGGAATTCTGCTTAGTAAGCACTGCTTTCTTGTTTGCTACCCTGTACTGAAAGCTCCCTGAAGACAAATATTTCATATTTGTGTTTTCTTCTACATCAGTGTTTTTTGTCTCTCTCTCTCTTTTTTTTTTTCTTTTGTTTTTGAGACCTGGGTTTCATTCTGTCACCCAGGTTGGAGTGCAGTGGCTTGATCATAACTCACTGCAGCCTCGAGCTCCTGGCCTCAAGCAATCCTCCTGCCTCAGCCTCCCAAGTTGTTGGGATTATAGACATGAACCACTACCCCCAGCTGCTGCAGCAGTATTTTTGAACAGAGAGTTTACAGCAAATGATTGTTGAAATAATGAATTGGGGGGAAAGGTAAAAGGCTCCAGAGTGGAAATTCCCAGAGATGAGAATTAGCTAGCTGATTTCTCCTATTCTTTATTTCTTCTGAGAAATACTCCTGAGTTGCTGGGTTAGAACCAGGAGACCCTTGTTGGGGAGCAGCTCAAATACCTTATTTAATGAAGGATGTTTTCTTATAAAACTTGAGGAATCTGGATATCTTTTACAAGACCAATAAGGTGTAATTTATTAAATGCTTCTTATGTGACTTGTATACCATTGCCTCTAGTTCTCACAACAGACCAGTGATTCTGTTTACCTCCTTTTACAAAGACACTCAAAGTCCTTCAGAAGTTGCAGGGCTGAGATGGGGAGCCAGGCCTGTGGGATTGGAAAAGTTAATGTTAATGGAGCCTGTTATTAGAAAAGTATTGATTGTGCTTGAAGAAAAATCTGGACCTACTCTTAGAGGCCTTGGGAACCCCTCTTCCCAGAGGTCTCAGAGTACAGCAGAGTCTGGCCTGCCCATGAGGTATAACCAACTCTGCCCAGAAAAGGCCAGGCAGTCCACGATTCCTGCATTGGCTTGTTCTGTGCCACTGTTTGCTCTCTGGGAATAGTTTCTGGAATACTTGGAATTGAGGAACATACCAGTTTGGACTGCATTTTCTACCTATCTATTCTACAGACCCAGTACATCTGAGATAGCGTCTTAGTTTGTTTTCATGCTGCTGATAAAGACATACTCGAAACTAGGAACAAAAAGGTTTAACTGGACCTACAGTTCCATATGGCAGGGGAGGCCTCAGAATCATAGCAGGAGTCGAAAGGCACTTCTTACGTGGTGGCGGCAAGAGAAAAGGAGGAAGAAGCAAAAGCAGAAACCCCTGATAAACCCATCAGATCTCGTGAGACTTACTCACTATCACGAGAATAGCATGGGAAAGACCAGCCTCCATGATTCAATTACCTTCTCCTAGATCCCTCCCACAACATGTGGAAATTCTGGGAGATATAATTCAGTTGAGGTTTGAATGGGGACACAGCCAAATCATATCATTCCACCCTTGGCCCCTCCAAGTCTTATGTCCTCACATTTCAAAACCAGTTATGCCTTCCCAACAGTCCCCCAAAGTCTGAACTCATTTCAGAATTAATCTGAAAGTCCAGTCCAAAGTCTCATCTGAGACAAGGCAAGTCCCTTCTGCCTATGAGCCTGTAAACAAAAGCAAGCTAGTTACTTCCTAGATACAATAGGGATACAGGTATTGGGTAAATACAGTTGTTCCAAATGGGAGTAATTGGCCAAAACAAAGGGTTTACAGGACCCATGCAAGTCTGAAATCCAGCAGAGCAGTCAAATTTTAAAGCTCCAAAATGATCTCTTTTGACTCCAGGTCCCACATCCAGGTCACGCTGATGCAAAAGGTGGGTACCCATGGTCTTCAGTTGCTCTGCCCTGTGGCTTTACAGGGTACACCTCCCTCCCAACTGCTTTCATGGCTGGCATTGAATGTCTGTGGCTTTTCCAGGCTCACGGCACAAGCTGACAGTGGACCTACCATTCTGGGGTCTGGAGGATGGTGGCCCTCTTCTCACAGCTCCACTAGGCAGTGTCCCAGTAGAGCCTCTGTGTGGGGGCTCCCACCCTACATTTCCTTTCTGCATGGCCCTAGCAGAGGTTCTCCATGAAGACCTCACCCCTGCAGCAGACTTTTGCCTGGGCACCCAGACTTTTCTCTACATCCTCTGAAATCTAGGCAGAGGTTCCCAAACCTGAATTCTTCTGTGTACCCCCACAAGCTCAACACCACATGGAAGCTGCCAAGGCTGGAGGCTTCCACCCTCTGAAGTCACAGCCTGAGTTGCACATTGGCCCCTTTCAGCCAATGTGCAGATG